TTTTTTTTTTTTTTTTTTTTTGCTGCTCACCGGGGTAAATTTTCCTGGCACCGCGGCCCTCGTTATCTCGTTCGTGGATCGCACCGTAATTTATCACGACGCGCGCCGATAACATTATTATGATTGTTATTCAAAATACCCGGGGCCGGCGGACGGGTATTTCGCGATAACGTTATCGTCGTTGTCGCGGCCGCGGCATACCCGCGGCACGACACAACAGGTTACGATAAAAAAAAAAAAAAAAAAAAAAAAAAAAAAACGAACAGAGCAAACACACCGTTTTACACGGTATTAATATCGATTGTTTTTCCGGGCGCGCGCCGGCGAAGATCCGGCCGACGCGATACAGCCGACGCGACGGCGGGCCGTTTCGGGAGGCCGATCGGCCCCGCCGATAAATAACGCCGCCGCGTTTCGATAATAATTATTGTCGCGATGACGCGCCGAAACAATAATAATAATACGGATAATGATAATGGCGATTACAGTATTGCGACCTTCGAGCGAACAACAATACCGTACGTAATAACAATAATAATAATAATAATGATAATAGTAATGAAGCACGTATACCGCGACGATATCGGAACGGCGGCGGCGTAACCGAAAAAAACGCGGTTTCGCGAGAAAAAACATACGGTTTTAAGCGATATTTTTAATTTTTTTTTCCGCTCCAAACAAATAGGCTGAAGAACCGTAGACGCGTAACGGTATACAGGGTGATTTTTTTTTTTTTTATAGTGAATTACCGATTATCTCCGAGTTTTCTACGTGGATTAGATTTACGTTTTTTTCATCTAATCGTTATGGAATCGTTTAAACTTTATTTTAAAACCGTTTTTGATTTTCACCCCGATCCCATACGTCCTAAATGAGTACGTACTTTTGATTTTAAAACAGGAAGCCCCGTCCCTCTTTTCGAACACAGATTTGAATAGAAAATATTTTTCCAGACATTTTGATATGCATAACACTAATATCAGATTTACCGTTTATGAGTTATGAAAATTCAGAGTTTAGACCGGAGGAGTAGGGAATAACAGTAGGGAAAGGTAATAAATTAGAAAGCTAAAACGATTACATAATGATTAGAAAAAAACAGGAATCAAATTCACTTAAAATTCTCTGAGACAATTGCTGTTTCATAATAAAAATATCACCCTGTATAAACCACGCATAAGTGAAATATATTGAAGCCAACATATTGTGTGCGGGAGAGCTAGGCAGACACATAGTTGACTTTTTCAATAAAGTTATATACAATTTTATGACACTCCTTGGTAATAATTGAAATAAAAAACTGATAACTGACAACAGCATAGCATACCAACAGCAATTTTACTTATTTATTATTTTGTACGTTATCTATCAATTTTCTTATCATTATTTTGTAATATAAATAATAAATATTTATAATCTCGAAAAGTATTGTATAAATTGTACATGAGCTTCTTGAAAAAGCTACGTTAGAGCTTGTCCGTTTCGTACTTATCTTCGCCTCAAAGTCGTTTTCACAAAACAAATATAATGAGCAGTCTTATTATTTTATGTCTGACACAGACAGTCTATCCCTGTGTGTAGAACAAAATGCATTTTACCTGTGATCATATGAAGTTCAGGACAAATCAGATTGTCGGTTAAGCGTTCTGAGAGCGGACAGAGTAGACAAGACTCCCGAACTTACTTTACAAAAGATGTATTTCCTTTTTTTTACTGATTGACCACCAAATAATTCCCGTAGTCGTATTCGAAATAAACTCATTTCGTTATTTCACTCATTCGACCAATCGATTGAACGACTGAAATACTTGAAAAAAAAATTGTCATACGTTTAGCGGGGGAAATCATCACTTTATCCCCCTTCAGTTTCGCTCCTGATGAGATTATCCCGATTAATATGGCGTCGTTAAAGGCTTTTACGAGAAATAATTTTGCTCGTCCACCGCACAAAGATATCGTTAATATACCAATCATATTATATTTCACTGTAGCAGTCAATATAACGAAAACGTTCGTGTAATAGGATTTGGGAAAACGTACAAATGTTTACTCGTTTGGCGGCGGACCCGCCAACGCGTTATTATAATATTACTTTTCGTCCACGAAAATTGTACTATACCATGCCGACTTATAGGTCAAACAAAGATAAAAAAAAAAATCGCAACCAAAATGTTGTGTTTTGCTCTTATAAAAAGCTAAAACGTGTACTTCAACATAATTTAAGTCCCCGTAGACCTTATTTTTAAAATTATAATGTTCGCTCGTAAATATATATTGTTTTGATTTATGTACCTATTCAAATTCGATATTGTGCTCCATAGGCGCGAACCGTAAAATGAAGTTGTAGTTATTGCACTTTATTTTAATTTGCTATAGTCACTAGAGTTAAATTTTCCCCCAGTTTATCTCGTTGAATGTTGACGTTCCAATATTTAATTTTTTTTTTTCCATATACATAAAACTGAACCATAATAATGACGGCTACTATAGATTTTCACAGACATTTCGTTTTGAAATATATTGTTTTTGGACCACGCCTATCCCTCTCCTTGCACTATATTACGGTCTACTGTACCTCTCCTGTTCGGGTATAAAATGATAACTATAACTTTTCGGTAACGATAAGCAATCGAACAAAAAAAAAATATTATCATAGTAGATATCGTATAATTCTCGAGATTTTGTATTAATATACAAACTATCGGTGTGAGCGGTGGTCAGAAGTTAAAATCGTCTAAAAGCACATTATCGACGGGCGCACATTCAATAAAATCACAACTGATTTGCGCAAATTTTTACGACTCTGCGTACAATATATTTCCGGTGCAATCGCTCGTTTGCGCATACATTTTTCTTCCCGATTATACAGACTTAGGACCGTCAGTGAATATTTTAACTTTTCGGGTGTGGTTAAAAATGTACTTTTGGTGTGCTATGTGTATAAAAATATTTATGATTAATAATATTACACGGTACAATAAAATAGTGGGAAAGCAGTCATTTGAATTTGTCATTTATTTTAACTACTTCAAACGTTCACCTTCGAAGCGGTTCATGAATTGTTCATGCAGACACGTGTACGGTGCACCTATTCAATTATTTGTATATTATTTCATTTCGACGACAGTTACTGATATTATTTTTTTATTGACTCTAATTTGAATTTAGTTTTAATCGTAAATCCTTTATTATCGACAATACCGTTATTGTCTGCACGTGTATAGGTTTATTATAATCGTAAATAAACGTACCTACGTATAAACATAGAGCATATTATTGTTGTGCTAGCGAGTGGTTGGTTTTATATTTTGTGAACAATCGAGCGGTTATTTCAACGGTGTGTTATACGTGAACGATTGGTTTTTTCTACGATAATTTGTGCGCAAACGAGTTCCAGGTTTTAACTGGGACATTTTAAAATGCGCGCGAATTAGTTATTAGTTGCAGTCGTTCTCAACAATAACGTACAACTATATATACGTACAAATTACACTTACTTTGATAGGTCTGTAGGGGTATTCAAACCCGGCATTTTCCGCGAAAACATGAAATTTGAGCATAGAAAATGTCGAGGAGGAGGTTGAAGGTTGTAATCTCCAAAAGGCACATCCTCGATACTTAGGTGCACCACGCATCTGGGGAGATAGGGAACCGGGGGGTTCCGTTCGTGGAGTTTGTAGACGTGTACAAAGCTAGAAAAAACACCATCCTCCCGCAACAACATGGGAAAATTCGTATTGAAATTCAACCAAATCCTATCACTTCAATCCGCCTATCAAACAACTGTAATTCCCGAGTTTGAGTTTAAAGTCAAAACTAATGCAGAGGTTACAGTATTCGATACCATCATAATTTACAGCGATACAGAGATTATATTTGTTGAACCCCTCACGGATTATTTCATGCGTTGGCTCTTATTGTGCCCAGATATAGAAAAGTGTTGTTCCTGCGTAGAATTGAACGAACGTCCATAAATACAATGTTATACAATACATTATTCCGTCTGTATTCAAATTATAATTATCAATTTAAAACGTTTCGATCCGATTTTTATTTTTTTATAACCGCGTCGCACTTGTTGTAAATATAATATTGTAATAACACCGGTGTGGATAGGATTTAATTCGGAGGATTTTTAATTGGCACTTTTTGAAAGAAAAAAAAAAACAAAAAAATTATAATAATAAGATGTCCTTTGATGTCCTTTGATTGTATCTTCCTGTAATACTAATAACGTTCGATTCAAAAGAAAAATACGACATTTAATACAATTAAAACGTTCGTTATAAAACGCGTCCGTTGAAATATAAAAAAAAATGTAGCCGGGTCGAGACAAGTCGATACACGATGTAGCTATACGAAATCTTTTCTAAAAGGGTGTTTTTTTTAAATGTGGAAAAAATCGTTTTGTCAACTTTAAAAAATTTGATTTTAATATATTTTTAAATTTTATGTTATCTCATCTCTTTCGACAATCTCTACTTCTATCCAGAAAATTCGACTGTATAATTTAGTGACCGGGCCAGGCCGTGCGGATCGTTTTATTTTTTTCAACTGGGAACTAGCAGTGGAAACCAGAAATAAACAAATAAAATGACACTTTCGATCAACAAATGAAGTATAAGCCACCCTTCGGTGGTTGAATTCCGGGATGAAAAGTAACTTATTTGCGTCTTCAGGATGAATCACTCTGTCAATATTTTTATCAATATTGATTCAGCGTTTAAGCCGTGAAAACGTAATAACAAATAGACAGTTACATACTTTCGCATTTATAATGCTTGTGGATGATGAATGGATTCCTTACTGCCAAATCCAAAATAATATAAATACAAAGTAACAAGGGCCCCAAAATCGACCTAAAATACGAGTATAAACAATAGCTGTTTAATACGCACCGAAACGCATTGAAATGTGTTTGTAGCTCAAATTAAAGACAGTACATAAATTACACCGGAATTCAACTCAGCAGTCTTTCAATAGTACAGTAATACGAAGTATGAGATGCTAATAAAATAGAATATTAACAAATTAAACCAGGGCTTGCGAAAATTTTACGGTACATAAAAACCGATTGAAATTTAAAAACTTAATAATGGAATGGAAATTTTTTTTTCGGACTCATAATTAGTTTGTAATAGGAACTGAACGGACATGTGGGTTACGTGAAATTATTTTACCTTATTTATTTTTATCACCATCGTGAATCACTTGCAAATTTCAAAACCAAACTAGCAAATTCTTGATAAATACTGACAGTATCATCGATTTCTGATAATGTGAGTGGGCCGACTTCACGGACAGCACTTCATGTACGTACGCCTTTGTCGCTTCCCATTTGTCCCGACTTTGGATCATAAAACTTACTACCGTCTCTACTTCCAGATTTACTTCGCTAACTGCATCTAGTTCCCTTCGTCGACACCGCCATCGATCACACAGGAACAGAGCATGCTCGAGTTTATAGGCACAACTAGAGACCAAACACCGGGGGTGCTAAAATTATGTAGAGGACACGATCTCGTGAAGGCTACGCCCCCCATACCCTCAAATACCGTATTTCAATTTTATAACTACTGTGACCATTCTTAAATGCACAGTCAAAAAATAAGCTAATAACTAATATTTAAGTATTCAAACAGTAATATATCTGATAAACACATTATAGGTAAATTATATTATTTAGATGATAAAAATAGTAACAAAGTGTGAACAGATAAAAAAACTATTTTGTTTGGTAACTTATGTTAAAATGATTATACAATATACATTTTTTAGCCGTTACTTGTACGGGGTACATTTTGTAATTAAATCTATCCATGATTCATCATTAAATGTAAACATTTTATCTATCAGTCAACATAATATGTTTATATTTAATGATTTTACACTAATATTATTTTTCTATTACTACTGGAATACTTGTTCATTATTTCTGAAGAAGTAATTTTATCGACAACATCTCTTTCAATGTTTAATATTGATAAATCTATAAAACGCTGTTGCTCCATACTTGCCCTTAGCTAACTAACTGAAGAGTTTATTATCTATCTGACTGCAACAATATTATCGATGTTACATACCTAATATTTGTTACAACTAATTATCACAAACAATTTTTGTTTCTGCTAAAAACGTCAAATAAAAAAAACCCTATGTAAAACAGAGAAAATGTATTTTAGATTCTGAGTGGACCGAAGAAACTTATGGTTTTACAAAGATGTTTATTTTTTTGTTTTTTTTTCTGTGGACAACTTTTCAACCAGAGATCTTGCTTCAATTTTTAGGTGTAGCACCTTTTTTGAAAGGAAATCGGTGTTGGAAGGTTCTTTAGAGAGATCATCTTTTCATTTTTCCAGGATTTTTCTTAAAAAATATGACAAACGGAAATAACAGTACATTAAACAAATATTATTAAAGAAAATATATAATGGCTATGTAATTATTTTACCATAATATGACACAATATATATTGTTGATAAAGTATTAATTTCAACTGAATTCCGCTCAGAATCATTTTTTCGTTAGAAATGATTTATCGTTGCTTACAGATATACATTAATTCCCCGTTTATATCCTACCTCCTCAACTCCCCATCTACAACAGTGGCTGCAACCACATGTGAAGTAGGTCCGTCTTTTTATTTGTATATAAACGCTTAGATTTTTATGAAACTCGATCAATCGCAAAATCATACATTTGTATACGGATATTACCTGTGGTATTTATCTCGCTGAAGACACGCATCGGTTGCACTATCAGCACCAAACTGCGCCACGGTAACAAAAATTGTAGGCATGCTTAATAATTAGTACTATTTATTTATTTGAACGATAATAAATATCGCAAAACCACGCGTTGGCTAATAACGTTGGCAATAATATTAATTTTGTTTATTGTATGCATATTTAATCGAATCGTAGTAAATTATGTTTCTTAAATTTATTTTATTCATTGTCGTTTTTAAATTTGTATTCCTGATAACATTCCTTTAAAGTTTTTCAATAGTTTATTAAGTTGTTTTTTGTTTTATTTTTTCGTAAATCTTTTTTTTCCTTCGTGATTTTTTTCCGGTTTATTTGCACGCGAATTCTACGGTCCAAGATTGCTGGTAGCTGCGGATGACTCCAAGGAAAGAGAATCGGGATTCAGTGATCGTATTATATTATAGGGTGTTACATTATGGGTTTAAGGTAAGGTTAGGTTAATCGACACAGTGGATTAGGCCTACTCGGGGACACCACTATAAAAAAAACGCGCCTCGTGCAAAACCTCATACGCTTTTCGAATAACGTCAAATACTCGTAATAATATTTCATTGGCGTTTGTCGATAGCCAAGGTGGTGTGGAAAATTGCACTTATCTATATCTTTATTGTAACCATTCCATAAGATTCGATATTTTAGGCATCATATTAATGAGAAAATTTCTGAAAAATTCGGTAAATCATCTTCTTATAGTACCTCCTCAATCCGATTTAAATTACAATTATTGGTACACAAAATTACCTATAACAATGGCTGCATCCGTCCCCATAATCCTAGGACAGATTTTTTCACAGTATTTTTCAATTTTTATCGTTTAGGAACTGGAGGCACTAAATTTGAGTTTGGGGGTTTTTCATTAACCCCAATCTAAAAATTATATTATATATTCGTTGCTTTGCTCTCCCTTACAAAGGTTGGGGCTGATTTTTGATTTCCAGGAGTCAACTTCGTAGGCTGGGCAAATTCGAATAAGATATCGCCTCTACAGCATATGCGTGAGTATCAAATTCGTCAGTCACTATTGTTTTCCTTGGGTTTTGTTCAACACATACTATGTTCAAGTTCAACAAAGAGGTATGTGTATTCAAGGATTGAGAGTTCAGAACGGTCCTCCTTGTGAGGTGGAGTGTGAGCGGAGCCGTATGGTAGATCCTAGACATTGTTAAGAACGGTGTTTCTGCCTCTTAGTACGCCTTGATGGCTCCCGAGTACGAGCAGTTAAAAAACGTGTTCTCGGCGGTGTCCTCCAGGCGATGACAATACTTGCATTCAGCGTCAGGGGAACGTACCCCTACAGTTGCCTGACAATGGCCTATATCCATCGGCCGGCACGGTGCAAAGTATATCCGGCTCGTTTTTTTTGTAGTTCTACTAATCTGAGCGGCCTGCGGGTTACTAGCTCAACGAACAAACTGATCTGACGGTATTTTTTACTACAATGTTTATTGTCTGATAAGTGATCACATTTGTCGACAAAAGAGTTGCCGGAATCAGCAAACAGTCAAAAACTATATACTTTTGTTAAATTCGGTTACGGGTGATCCATTGATCGGATACTGCCCGGTAAACAAAACGTTTAGTTAATGCCGTAACCGAGTGGCCGACAGTGTGGCAAACTGTTTACACCGAAAACCGCATCGGCAAAACACGCGGCGGTAGTATTATTATATTATATTCGTTTTCAGTATCGTCTCGCCACTATAATACGCCTGCCTATGAACCCGCCGCGAGTTCTCCCGTGTCCGGAAAACGTAATACCCGTCGGAAAAACGCAATACTATTGTAACCACCTGTGCCCGTATCGCGCGTGCCGATACCGTGGGGTTTGGTGACCTCGCGTGGTGTTCGAGGTGCGCTCGAAAGACGCGCTGTATGGGGTCCTCCACGGCATTGTGCGCCCGCGCGACAATCGCATACACGCCGTGTACTCAATAATATTTATACTGTTGTCGCTGATTTTACTGTCACCGATGCCCGTACACGACGTCGTTATAATATCATACAACTCCGAACTCGGATACCCGAAGACGATCGCGACCGCGTGGTTAAAAAGAAAAGATTTCATTGACCGCGTTTATATCGCGCCGCGGGTACAGTAGTTATCCGAAGACTAATAACGCACGAATCCCCCTCCTCCCCCCCAATGATCTGAGACGATAGCAAACGAAACCGCGGTTTTCAGCAAGTTAACAACCGTGAATTTAAACAATTTAGTGATGTCATCTTCATCGGTTGCCCGTTCGGGTTTAACTGCTATAGCTACGGAAACGGCGACACCGTAAAGAAAATGTTCATATTTATAAAGATTGAAAACGTATCTTGGGAACTCGGCTGGTGGCAACTTGCCCGAACAGATTTGCAATTTGCATTAATATTAGTTCACAGGGAAATAAATGTTGATCCGATCCAGAAGGAGAGCAAAATCATTAAGAAAAACTTTGTTGCTGTAAATTAAACTATGATTATTTAATTTTTTAAAAAAAAAGTCATTGTGTTTTACTGAATAATAATAAAAAATAATATCTACATCATTTTAGTTGATTAATCGTGCAAATATTTATGTGTCTAATATGTTTGAAGTAGGTATCTAACTAGTAGTTAAAGAAAAAATGATATTGCACTGACTATAATAAAGTATAGGTATAAGTAAATTTGTACATCTAAAAAAATGATATATTCCTATTTAATTAAAGTTCTTACTTTCACTTACCCATGGCTACGTTACTCAGCTGTTTCTAAAGATCCAACTATTTTAAAATATTTATTTCCTTGAAAAGCCAGGGAGGTGCAATCGCATCGCCTTGCACCCCCCTCGCGGCGCATCTGAATATAGGAATTTGGTAACACAACGACAATATTAAAAAATAATTTTAATTGGCTAACAACCGAATATAGAAATGACCGTGTGATGATCGAAGAGCGAAGTTGCAAATTTTCAAATTGTAAAGTAACTCGGAATTTCGACAATAATCATAAAACCATAAGAAAGACTCATTGGGGAGAATCACCGTCCAAAAATTAAGCATCATTTAAAGTAGGTACTTTATGAAAAAAATCGGAGCATTTATCGTAGGCGTATGTAGGCCTCTTCTTTAGGGTATGCAGAAGGCTGCCACTAGCGCCATTAAAAATTATTTTAAGATCGTAAAATTCCATTCAAAAAATATACACAAATAATGAAATGTCTTACCAACTGTTTAATTAAAACTATAGTTTTCACTCAAAATTCAAATTGAATAAAAATATAAAACATACATATTTTGCAAATATTTTATTCAATTCATATGATTTTTGTGGACCTCAGGGATGTAGCCCCTTACCCCATTAATCCGGGCTTGGTGTTCAGGGTGTGCAACCTAACCTAACCTCCGGCGAACACCTATGAGCATTTTACGCATCGAATCCGAGGAAAATTATCAATATCGTTTAAAACCTATGGTTTCCCGGGATCACGAAAACACTTAATAACATTTATAAATGAAAATAGCGATTGCATTATTATGTACGCGAACGTAGAAACGTTCAAGATGCGAAAAACGCTCACTGGAATAACCATTGTGATCACTGTTGACCTCCCTGGATAACATAACGAGGACGTTAATAACTATAATAAGTGAACGTAATTTAGACCAAAACACCAACGCGAGACGAACGAACGACACGCAACTACAGGGTTATTTTTTTCTCTTTGAGACTTATGATTTTTTTAAATAAATGTTCATAAAATGTTTGATTCCGATGAAAAACAAATAAAATGCGTGCAATTTTTTTTTAAATCGAAAATTCGGATAATAACTATACTATGGGTAGACGTCGACTAAAGGCGCTGGGCGATTTTGCTCGTTGCTATTAGATAAATAATAACAATAAATTGAAAACGTCTACAATTAACACAGTAATTTTAACAAATGTTTTAATCGGTTTTAATTGTTGACATTAAACATATTTGTGGCCAGTTTTCTCGTTAGCGATGATTTATCGTTGCGCACAGATATAAATTAAACTATTCTACGTAGCCCAACTTCCCACCTACAATAGTGATACTGATACACCCATAAGCAGTACCGGAGTTTTTTTTTTTTATTAACTTCGTTAATATTATAATATTAGTGTAAACCTTTATGTTTTTTTTTTCCATACTGATGTATAATATGTATTGCTGAAATACAGTCCATTCAAATTGATCAGTAAAAAGCAGATATTTAATTTAGAGAACATGGATTGTTCGTTTAAAATAACGTACCTACAAAAAAAAAAAAAAAGGTCAACAAAAGGTTTCATCATCTTAAAGATGTCGTCCCGAGAATTTCGCTGCTGTCCGACAAGTCCGTATAGCCTATCTTACGATGTATTTTCAAAAAACCGTGTACTGAAATGAACAAAAACTATAAAATATAAATTGTATGTACCGTATTATTATGTAGTTTTGGAGAAACTTGAGCCGTAGGCTACCTACGAGGGTTGTCCCAAAAGTAATGCACAGCGCGCTCTAGCTACTCCCGAAACCTACACGACGATAATGAATATAACTTACAGCGTAATTAATTAGGGAAATATACGATTCGAAACAGAAACAGTAGAAGTTTTTTATAAGCAGATTAATTTGGATTCTTCATATGTATTGGTTTTACTAGACACGCGGTTTTTTTTTTTTTTTATCGGTGTATGCGCGTAAATAATCTCGCGCGAATGAAAAACTTAACAGGAACTCTTCGTGTAACGTGTTCGATCCAGTTTGGTGTGTTGAGGTTGTTTGTAGATTTTCTTAATAAACGGGAAAAATTTGGCAATGTTTTGTTGAATTTCCGGCTTACCTCGGCAACACGGGTAGAAATACGATCAATAATATTCCGCTCACGATCGTTTTTCGTTTTCGCAACGGTTTGCCGTAGTGTAGATTTATGAATTAAAACAGTTTTGTGTTTGCGTTCGATCGGGGTTTGAGGGGGGGGGGCCGAACGAATTGGCGGCGACAGCGTGGAGGTCAGGCGAAAGGGGATAGTCAGCGGCGGAGCGGACGGAGGAGTGATCAGGGGGTTTGTTTCGCACTAAGCCCGAGCACGGTGCTCGGCGTGACCGTCGGCCACTGCGGCTTCGCGTTCGGCCTTACAGCTTCAGCCGTGCGCTCGACATTCCCGGATTTGAAAACGTCCGAATGCCGAACATCCGAAGCCTGCGTAAATAACGTTTGGAGGCCGAATCAACGGATCGTAAACGGACCGCCCGTTATGATAGCAATTAGACTGCGCTTACAATCGTATGGTCTCCGTATCGTTTAATTCGCCGGGGTGACCCGGTTTGGTTTACCAGCGGCGGGCGAACGGTACGGTTTCGGGCGCGGACGTCGTCCCGATTTTCCCGACATCGCATCGAGAACATTTTAGGGGCGGGTACCGATTCGTAATAGGCGCGCCTACCAATCGCTTACCTATTGGCAACGGGTAATGGGCCTCCACCTTGTGCAATTGTCGAACGTGATTCGTCGGCGAGAGAAATCGAAAACGACAACACGGGCGAAGAAACCGAAGAACAAATACAGTTAAAAGCGTTTTCGAACCACGAGAAACTACGGGAATATACCCCGGCTCTACTGATAACGTTACGACTTGCGTGATAATATCGCCACGTTATCGGCCGACCGACACTATTGTCCGACGCCCGTCGCGGCCTACGAACAACTCCGCCTTCCCCCCCCCCCGGACACGGGATACATCNCCGCGCACCGTACGGCGACGTCGGTAGGCGCCCGGCCGCGGACGCAACACGGCCGGACGATAACGCCGCCGCGAACCCCCGCGGAAATTCCGTCCGGTAAACGCCGCGCGTCCCCGCCGGCTCTTGTTCGGCGGGCAGAGGCGCCCGTATTGCGGTTTGTAACGACCGTTGCGACGCGTTACGCGTATCGCCACGGCCGGCGCACACGAAACGCGGTTTCCGAAAATTTCGTCGCACGCGTTAATGTCGCCGTTTCGAATACGAACGGCGCCGCCGGCGTGTTCGCCCGTCGTAAAACTGCCGCCGCACGGCGCGGTGGTCTCGTTGTGAAAAAAACGCGCTGGCCGTCCTGGGCCGTGTCCGCGCGCGTTGATGAAAACCGAAAATTCACCATAACGGCCGGTTTACGGGAAAAGGAGAAAAAAGGAAAAAAAAAAAATGCCATCGGTAATTCGTAATTTCTCCGCGTTTCGTTCCCATTCGCCATTGCGCATTTTCGATTGGACACTCTGGACGACCGAATCGGTTTCACGAAATATCGCACCTATTGCGTGAAAAAACGACTTACGGCAAATAATTGTACACTAATCGCTGGCGGATTATTATTTTTTTTTTTGTCGAAAAACGTAGACGCAGTTTTTAATAATAACTATTAATATCGTGATGACCAATTGCCGCTTACGCGGACAATACTTCATGGCACAATTCTCACACAGACAGGACATGGGAATCCGTTGATATGAAAGTAACATTCGAGTTGAAACAAGTTATACGGGTAGTTAACATATAGGAGATTATCGTTTGATTTTTTTTTTTCAAAAAAATACGTCATATAACATCTCTCTCTATGAATAGCGCGGTTTTCAAATTATACCGCTGGATAGATACATTACGAACAATTTTCGACTATGATAATAGGGCATTTCGACGCGACTGTTAATTTTCAAATAAATATTTTATTTGGAAACTGTGTCTATTTTTTGATATTATTATACTTTTTAATGTTGTCCCCTGATTCATAAATTAAATATCGAGTTCTCAGAAACGGTTTTCATGGAAACTACATAATATTATGTCCTAATGTGTATAGTATTTGGTTATACCAATTGAAATCCAAATAATTAATTTGTTTTTACAGTTTGAGTACTTTTTGAAAAAATATAAAATGCAGGTTATGTATGTGCATCTATCTAACATGTATAGCTAACTGCTGAGGCGGATCGGTGCAATCGTACTTTAACATTATGAGTAGTAATTCTTTTGGTTTTTCAAAAAAATGTCTACCATATAAATATTAAATAATTTTTGCGATCAATTCTATAATTTAAAAAAAAAAAAGTGTACAGCAATATAAAAATACCCCAAAATTAAATAAACTTAAATAAAATTCTACTACACAACATTAATCTCCCACCTTTTTTTCCCCTTATAAATTTTGTAAAGAAAAAACATAATTTTGATAAATAATAATTTGTAGTTGAAAAGTTACGAGATCCATTAAACTGGCAACTTTGGTTAACAAATATTGATGCAAGATTACGGCAGTTATGACAAGGTTTTTTTTTGTTCACATTCACAATTTCGATTCAGTGAGCCAGGCAAAGTTTTGTGGTTTGCGATCAGCTGATGGATTGATCATTATGTTTAAAAATGAAGGTCCACTCGTATCCTGTAAATAACACAATGATCACTAAATGCATTTCATAACAGGCAAATATTAAAAGCGACTAATGTTTGTAACATGAATAATATTATTATTTTAAATTCAAAACTAGCTACTTGGAAAGTTTGTGATTAATATTAACTTCCATGAAAATACAACATGAACATAAATACTATCTCCCATTGAACAGTTAATGTGCATATTAATTGTAAGTTATAATTGAAATTAAATATTGTGAAACAAATATCATTGGAGCCCTAAGAACAGTAGGCTAGGATGAGCTGGGCATATGTGGACTTTCACTCAGACTTCTGAAGGACTCATTGGTTTGGTCACAAACTGAGAGGACGGCCCGGACAGTAATGGAAAGACACGATTACCAAAGATGCATAGTGGTTAGGTGAAGGGAAGGTTAAGAGAAACTGGCTCAAAATAGAGATGGATAAAGGAAATCAGCTGTTGTGGCAATGGACCTAAATTGCCTGTAAAAGCCAATAAAGAAAGATAGTTGATACTAAATTTCCATAAGAGAAAGCAATATTGAATTTTTAATTGACCTAACGATAGTCAATTTATTTAATGTTTTATACAATTTTATTAATAGAAAGTTTTTTCATAAATTGGAATAAGGAAAGTTTAGAATGTTCGAAAGTAACTTTGATAATAGGTATTTCCAATAATGACCCAAAGATATTTACCAAAAAAGCTTCTCGCACTGCATTAGAAATTTGTTCTGTGGTTGTGCAAAAGTGTCCTTTGCGACCAAACATAGTCAATATATTTTCATAATGAATGTTAACAGAAAGACAGTTGGGAGGTATCCTAAAAAAAAAAAAAACAACAACAAATATAACAAAAATCAAGTAATCGACAATATTATTGAAAAACTAAACATACACTTCGGTTAAGTTATCATAATTTTGTACTGCAGTCCAGGTGGATTCATCAACACCTCCATATATGCCATTATTGTTGATAACTATTATAACAATTGGTAATTTATACCTAACAAATATACAAATATTCATAAATAAAATAAAATAAAATAATTAAATATTGTTAATATTTTAAAAATTAGTTGACAAACCATTACATTTCACTTCAATGACAAAACCAAAAGGACATATTTAATTTTTGTTTGTATTTTCTTTTTTTTAATTGGTTAATATAAAATTAAACTTAGTTAACCATTTATTAATTTGACATCTAATAGATCATATGCTTTGTTCAAATTATAGCTAACATACTAAAAATATTTGCTGTCTTAATATTAAATAGAATAAATTTTTAATATTAAATTGTGTAAATAGAATTCACACATTTCGTCATTATTTGGCCACGTTGCACAAAAACTAGTCGCAAGTGCAATGATTATGATACTATAAGTTCTATGAATAAATCAGATAAATTAATACATGTACATTTCAAAATGCTGAACAATGATAACTGATAAAATCATCACCCTGTTGTCTTCACGCACATTCACGTTAATCTTAATCTTTATTTTATAATATAAACTCTATGAGTCAGTTAGATCAGTCAAGGAAATATTAAAATCTCGGTAGCATGGAAATAATCTCAATAATAAAATAGTCACTTGACTTAAGGGCAAAGAATCCATTGTGATTTATGATTGAACAGTATTGATTGCAATGAATCAAACAACTTTTCTTATGATACACAAATTTAAAAAAAAATAACACTACCAAAAGTGTTGGCGATACCATTGATAACATCGATCTGTAAGTTAATGAAACAAAATTAAACCTGTAAGTTACAGGTACTATACGGAATAATTTACTAAAAAGATATATTGGGTTTTCTAGTAATACCAAGTGTTTTTTAAAGAGCTACAAAGCTGTTAGTGCAGTAATAATTCTGTAAGTTTGTCAAAAATGGTAGTTATAAGTTATCAAATAAGTAGATGTGTCTTGAGGTTGTAAATTTGACTAACCTAACCATAGTTTCTACTTCCATTCCAGAAAATCCAAAAGCTGAATCTCCTTCGACACACAAGACTCGTTTTTCAGGTGCATAAGTTTGACACCATAAAGCAGCGGCAATAGCAAATCCTAATCCTACTCCCATAGTGCCGAATGTTCCTACATAGTATACACAAAATCAGTTATTTTAAAATATACATAAAATTAATTTGATTAAAATGTAAAATATAATATTCTTATTACCGGCATCAAGTCTATGTCTAGGCAAATTGTTCAATAATATAGCTCTACCTATGTCCATTGTATTTGCACCTTCGCTTACGATTATACAGTCTGAAAAAAAAAAAATTAAATTTGTATATTTTTTACAATATTACAAGGTTTTTATTAGGATTTTTTTTTTTTTATAACAGTTTGAACTTTGTATAAATCGATACTCAGTGACCAAAATGTATATTTCCTTCAACAAAACTAATTTGCTTTGGTTTTATTTGAAGTAAAGATCTTATTTGGCGGTGGATTATCTCCGATTGTTGTAAATTAGATAGTACATCAAAGCTATATTTCTGCAGGACTTATGAGTTGTCTTTGGGCAAAAGAAGTTTACAGTCTACTTTTTCATTTGTAAATATTTTGATAAATGTTATTTTTGAAATTAAAAAAAAAAAATTATGATACTATTATTAAAAAAGAAACAAATCTAGTTTACGACCAAAGCTCATTTTTCAAATTTGTTTTCCAAACTGTGCGTTTTTTAATGCTTAGTCCATTGGTATAGTCAAAACTATTCTATTATACTTACTTTTATAGTTATTGTACATAAACCTTGAAAAATAACATTTGTAGAATTAATCCAAAATGTAGTCAAAAATAGAAATGTTTATATTATTATTAGCAGTAGTTATTGATAGTTTGATGAAAACAAAGTTTTTTTTTACCCTAGTCAGAAAAAGTCTATCTGACTTAGATTTAGAATTACGAACGTTTAAACACGCAGTATTTCGATGCAATTGATGCAATTTTAATCGAACACAACCCTCGATTTGTTGTGCGAAACCACGTTAGGTAAGTAACATGGTAAAGTGAAAAAAGCATTATAGGTGGGTAGGTTCATGTAAAATAACTATTAAGGTAAGTATGATAAGTAAATTTTCATTATACCTATGCATTAAAAAACACACATTTTGGGGGAAAAAAGGGCTCAAGTCGTAAAATAGATTTATACCTTGAAATATCTTTAAAGTCCGCTAAAATATTATTAGAACGAAGAAATACTTGATTTTCCTGCAACGCCTAATAATGAATTTTTAATTTTTGAAATAGTAATTAAATCGGTAAAGGTATTTACTGAACACGCGTGGAAATAAACGATACATTTGTAAAAAGTAACTGACAAGCTTCCAAATATCAATTGTAAATATTATTTCTGGTTAATTAGCGTGACGTTTAAAACATATAATTTCAACCTTTGGGAATGTTATCTTGTATATGACGAAACGCCGTGTAATAGTTCAACGGTACGGACGTGTCTCTCATCATTGACTGAAAAAAAATCCAACCAAGTTAAAACGTTCATACAAAAATAATAACAATATAAAATTGTCCCTAGACATTTGTTACGAATTAAACATTAAAAATACAATTGTGTTTACCTCTACATATTTTTTGTTCAACGAACATTTTTCGTATAGTCTATCCAACCATTCGGTTCTTAAAAATTTCCATTTCTTTTCTACCAGGTAAAGCCTCAATATGTTGAGCGTGGCGCAGACGTGTGCTTGAATCGCCACGCTGGCTTGTCGGCTGTTATGCAGTTCTTCGGCACTAATGTCAACCTGTATGAATTTTACGGAAGCACTGAACCTGGGCGGTTTACCAAAATGCAGCATCCAATTCAAACGTCCGCCGAGCAACAGTACGACGTCTGCGTTTTGCAAGGCGAAAGTACGTGCGGACGCAACACACAAACCGTGCTCGTCGGCCACTACACCCTTGCCCATTGGCGTGGCCAGAAACGGCAAGCCGAATTCGTCGACAAAACGTCTGACACTGTTCTCCGCGTGGCCGTAGGCAGCGCCTAAAAAAACGTAAACACGGTCAGCAGAACGGGCGCGCGACGGTATTTGGAAAACGACAACGCCGCCGGTTACCTTTTCCGACGATAATTAGAGGGCGTTCGGCGTTTACCAACAGCGCGGCGGCAGATCTGATGTACGGATTGAACGGGATCAATGTCGGCGGCGATTTCACTCGCGGCACGTCCGCGACCTTGTCCACGGCGACACGTGCGCACAACAGGTTTCCGGGAAAATCCAAATACGCGGCACCTGGAGAACAACGCGAAAAAAGACAAAAAAAAAAAAAAAACCCCGCGTGACATGGGTTTTCCTCCCGCGCGCCGACATCGACGACGGCGCCGGATTAATTACCGGGTCTGCCGTAGGTGGCACAACGTATTGCTTTCTCAACGTGCACGGGTATGAGCGAAGCGTTCGGCGGTCTCGCGCTGTATTTGCAGTACGGCCTGCTCAATTCCACTTGGTTGCACTCTTGGAAACCGCCAATGCCCTCGTGGTCCTCGACGCAAGAACCGCCGATCACCAACAGGGGCCTATAGTATCGTAGCGGTGGACGACGTTAGAACGGGGAATCGCATACTAGTGCCGTCGCGTTACGTACCAACAATTGATCTGGGCGTTCGCCATGCCGGCGGTGACGTGCAGCAGCCCGGGGCCGGACACCACCAGGCAGACGCCGGGCGTGCGCGTCAAATAACCGATCGCTTGGGCCGCGTACACGGCCGCCTGTTCGTTGCGCATTCCCACGTACTTGAGACCGGCCTGTTGCATGGCCATGCTGAGCTCGATGACCGGTATGCCCACGATGCCGAAAACGTATTCGATGCCCTGGTACGAGAACGAAATGCCATTATTAAATATCACCTTGGTCAAAACGATAACGCCGAATGGTGTGGACGGGTTACACGCACTTGGTGTTTCAGCGATTGGGCGAGAATGGCGTTGCCGTCTGTATCCTCCACTTCGTCGGACATCGTTACGAACGTTCGTCGACGATAAGAATAAAACGACCACGGACCGCGTCGATTCGGGACGGAAAACGAGACGGACAACGACGGGCGCGCAGCCGTGGCCCGTAGGTACGTACACACAGTTGCGCGACGGAACGGGAAACAACGGCGACGATGGTATCGTAATAATTATTGTACTTACTGTAATTATTGTTGTTGTAATAATGACAGTAATGATAATACTATTGTTGCGGTTTCGTTCGTGCGGTGATAACGCTCGATGATAACGGTCGTCGATGGGCCGACGATAAGCGGCAGTGTTGCCGGCCAGATTTGGAGCGGGGGAAAAAAAAAAAAAAAACGAGATTTTTTTTTTTTTTACAAAACTCCCGCTGCACAATATCGCGAGATTTTCGTTCATACGTCGCAGCGAAAATATTGTCGAAATAATGAATAAAAATATCGTTCGAATAGGTACCGGGTTGGGTGGGACGGGTACTGCGGGCCGTTGTGTACGTATTATAAAATATTTCGGTATTTCATTTTATTCCGTAACCAAAAATTGGAAATTACGACAATCAATCACTCCTATACACGATTTATTGAAAAACAACTTTTAGATTCGGTAGTGCGTAACGAGAAATGTATTATTACTTTTTTTCTTTTTTTTTATTATTATTATTATTATAAAATATTATTGGTGGCGGTAGCGTCCGGGGGTGAGGGGGGGGGGGGGGAGCGTATTTAAAGTCCCTGTACGCGAGTCGGTTCGATACGACCTACAGTTATATGCAAACTGTTCGCAGCACTTTTACCGCGTTAAAACCGTTTTCTCTGAAAAAAAAAAAAAAAAAAAAAAAGGTGTTTTATCGAATATCGGTATACGTACAGTAGTCACGCCCTTTTAACCGAACGCCGTCGACGTTATAATTATTAAGCACGCGTCTTTATCCGTAGCGCGCGCACCTACAGCTTTTGGTCGCTAAAAGTTTATCGGGAAAATTCGAACGTGGACTCGGGTCAGGTTACGGACTGTAGTTGTCGATCTCGAGCGTTCGCCGCCCGTTGTCGTTGTCGGCGTTTTCATGATTGCGTTCTTAACGAATTGACCGGTGCCAAGTGAACAACCGGACATACCCTGCGGTGGCGCGCGCAGGATTTTTTTTCCGAGTTGAGGGGTTGAGGTTGTGCTTATAATAATTTCCCCTACAGCGGGGATCACACGTACCAATTATCAACCAATGACACTGTCGATGTTATTGGGTACCGAACGTACGGTTTTCGATGAAATTGTATTCCGTTGTTTCGTTCTGTGGTACCCATAGGGGTATCGTGCTGTCGAACGTAAAACTTGATGTGAAAAAAATGTTTAACGACGGAAGAAGACGTTTCGGGAGGGGTCCTGGCCATCGACCGCCCCTCTGTGTGCGTCACCGAGTGTGTCCACCCGCCATTTCGGTAACGCACTTTTTCCGGGTAAAAATACACACAGTTGGACCGCCCCTGGGTGTCAAGCACGCGGGCCTGCCTTAATGTCGTCGGCGACTGGGTTTGTAATGTCAGCGCGTTAAAAAGCCTCGGGCATGCGAAAACGGATCGTCTAAACGGTATACGGATTATAGACGTTTTGGCCTTTAACGGGCGTTCGTCTCGACCTCGCTGAACATCGCGAATTTCATTAAATTGATTATTATTGTGTTCGGATTACAACGGCGGAAATGCCCTTTTTACTGTCGCGATTTCGACATGATATTACGGTGTCTGTAGTGTGCAAATGTCCCGTCAACGTTGTTTCGCAGACGGGCCCGTACGCTTTGCGGGCGCAATACCAATCACCCCGGGACGGAATTTCGTGAAATTTCGCAGCCGCGCCGCAGTCGGGTGGTAATACACACGCCATTTGACAGATCGCACTCTGTCAGCGAACGTATTATTGCAGTGCTTTCGTATTGTCGTCCGCGACTTCGGGAGTATTTTCCGAGCCCGTAATCATATTGGTACGGTTTACGCGTTTGGGGAAATTTAATTTCGTACCCGTTATCCGGAATATTTTTTCCGCGGGATTTCGTGTTGATAGTCCCGCGTGTGTGACAATCGACGAGGAAAATTCCATTTGTATTTTATGTTTATGATCCTTGATTCGGCGATCAGCAAAAGAGGCCGCAGAAAAAATAAAGCCATGGAAAAAAAAAGACAATCGGTATACTTTGTACTTTTATTATTATTTTTTTTTTTTTTTTTTTTTTTGTTTTTCCCCGACCCACTATTAATTAAACCCACCAGAAAAGTTACTGGAGTTAAAAATAAGTTGAATAAAGTTTTTAGTACAAATAAAAACAGAAAAATACTCATTGTACAATCAATATTAATCAATATTATACAATCGTTCTACAGGGCATCAGTAAACAATAATAATAATACATTCGTTACTATTATAAAAGTATAAAATGCTATTGCTATTGTTATGGAATTAACTATGACTATAATGTAACAGACAAATTAGCTTTATTTCCCGTGTGTTTTACTTCTCCTGTGGCCTTTTTTCCCCCCACATTCCCTTAATTCATCTGCGGCGTTATCGACGGTGGCATTACTGATAACAACCACATGTTCTAGTCACGACGTCTCACGTACCGAATCGTAAATAAGGTGAATGATAACGCCATCTTAGATGCCATCACATTATCACAATATCGCATACGGGTTATGAGTAACGTAAGGATTGTACAATTAGAAACCATCTGGGAAAACTCAACTACGATTGTTTAAACTCTTATCATTGATTCTATCGTTACAATGTGATCTTGATGTCGTCTTGTGTAGTGTAGTCTCGTTTACGTGCTGTCGGTTATTATTCTCATGTACCATAGTATTATGTTCCTCATCTGTGATGATGGAATACATAGATACCGATGTTGTTCTTTTCTAAATCCGAAAATCTATGATGGCATATCGGAGATGGCTTTATCACTCACCTTGTTTCCGAGCCGGTTGAGTAGATGTGATGGACCAGATGCGGTCGTTATCTAATTTATTTTACGGTGATAGGTGAATGAAAATAAATAAATATTTGTCGATTTTCACCATTTTTCGAGCATTTCGATTTTCCCAGGAACCAACTGTAAAAGCCCAATTAATGGGTGCCAAAAAAAAAAAAAGTATTATATACATTTGGAAAAAAAGGCGTATACCGAATGAGAGGCGTCATATTTATGTTTGCATTTCTATACACTGTCCCGTCGTTCGTATACGTTCGATCGTATACCCAAAAAAAGCAAAACGCGATGAATCGTACGTCAATAATATTATACGTTTTTGTTGTTGCAGCGTTTTTTTACCCGGCACGGTGCCGGTATTCGGCCCGTAGACGATTCGAAAATATTTCATAAATTTACATTATTTAAGACAATCGGTGTCAATTTGCATTTTACGTTATGATATTATTACTGTCAAAATACGTTAATTTATTCTCAGGGGAAACCGCGGGTTACAGAATACAGTAACTATAGTTTAAAAAAAAAAAAAAATGAATATTAAGTTAAGATAAGTTATTTTTTTCGATAACTTTATTAATAGTGAACTTAACTGCTACGGAAAAAAAAAAATTAACTAATTAACACATTAGGTAGCAATTTCATTTTTTGTTAAATGATTTTATCTTAAATGATTTACATTGTTAAAAAGTAAGTTATCTCTACAAGGTTATTTATTACAGTTATACGAATTTTCCGTGTGTAAAACTGTGAAAGTATGTACTTATGTTTTTTGCACTTATTTATCGAAGAAAAAATTATCCATATACTCTACAGCGAGATTCTTTTATTCTAAACCAATAATTTTTCGTAGGATTTTAAGTGAATTTCATTTCTATTTTTTTCTTTCGTTAATCATTGTGGAATTGTTTAAAGTTTTTTTTTTAAATTTGTACCTTTAGTCCATGTACCTTAAATAACTACTAGTTATATCTGAAATGATTATCCACTTTGGAATTTAAAATAGCAACCCCACTTTCAATCCCAGATTAAAATAGAGAATATTTTTCTAAACGTTTTTATATGCATAACAATAATACCAGATTTACCGTTTATCAATCAGTTATAACAGTTTACAGTTTAGACAGTAGGGAAGCGTTATCAACATATCATTTGAAAACAGATATGCAATTTATTACGTTTTTCTACTATTTGAAAAACAAAAGTAGAAACTTATTTTAACTTATTTTACCTTTACGAAGTGTGGATTAAAAATTACAAATGATTTTAAAATAAAGCCTACACGATTCCATAATGATTAAAAAAAAAAAAAAAGGAAAACAAATACACATACAATACTCTGATAAAATTGTTGGCTCATGATAAAAGAATCACTCTGTATAGCTGTCGATAATTCTGAGAAAATCAGGTACGTTACACTGGCACCACAACTTAAAATATTTTCTTTTGAATTGGTTCCATACTTTAGTAACCGATTCGTAATCATTCGTAACCACAAATTCGGAATTCGTAACCTAAACCGTGCACCGGAAAAACCATTTTCCCGCCCGTGTTAAAATCCTTCTTTTATCCTTTGCATAAATCTGTAACCAAACGAGCATATACCTGGTCAAAATATGTAAGAGTAGTAGTTTTTTTTTTATTATAAATATTCTATTTTTTTAAATGTATTTTAATTTTGTTTATTGACCTTGCGAATATAAATTTTACTCGTCCTACGAAAACAATATTTGCCAGTGTTTACTTTTATTTTACATGGCACACATCTATTTATAGATCCTTCTTAGTCTTATCGTCACTATCCTATCTGCTGTGTGTAACACATGAATTAATATATTGTCTTAAATCGTGATAACAACCTAACCTAATCCAGAGTAACTCTAATGGTACTATAATGGTATATGATACAAAACCAATGATGATTAATAAAAGATCGCTGAGCTCGAATGTGTTGTCCCCGTCTTACATACATACAACATCGGAAATTTTTGTTCAGCGGAATCATTTTAATGCTGTTAGCTATCATATTAGAATCAATTTAACTAATTTAAAAAAAAAAATAAGGTCCATCCACACGTTTACAATAAAATAACTAACATTAAGAAGCCTTTCAGGCTAATAGAGACATACCACGACTATCTATATTTAAACAATTGAATATTTAAAATAGTATGTTAACTTTTTTTAAGTCAAACGTTTTAAGCCGACGTGTGAAAATTTATGGTCAATATTTTAAAAATTCATATCTTGAATACTGCTATACAGTGT